TATATATATATATTAAAATGCAACTATGCGTTATGTTAATCTTATGAGAAAATTCGTTCTTTGCTTGTCCCCACTCGAACGGTTCGTAATATAATTTACGAGTTTCGACAATGAGCTTCCCCATGTTTCGAATGCCATAATTTCTTAAATTTCTCTCTGTTGGATAGATAGGCAGGCACGCATTCTTTATATATATAATAAATTTCACTTAGTTATGGCTTTTTTGTATCTTCTTTAAATTGAAAAAAAAAATATGAAGAAACGAAAACGTTCGTTAACCCAAAGTTCTAATCTTAATTTATTTAATAGAAATGGTTGATTTCAGAATGTTTCCAAATTATTTGGCGAATGAAAAACTTAATACAAATAATTCGAACAGGTATTCTTTGAAGATGATGATTGTTTTGGTCTTAGTTCTTCTCGTCAAAACAGCTCTATCGGGCAGTCCATGTCCTCCGAGGGAAAACATCTATCCTTGCAGCTGCCTCAATATCAAAGCACAAGGATCCATGATTAAAACTGTTGTACAATGCCATCGTTTGCATGACAAAGATACCTTAGGTTTCGTCTTCCATTCTCTGAAATCAGTGAATCTAGATTACTTCACTTTATACGATTCATTCTGGAATGCTGAAATCTCAACAAACAAAGACACTAACCCGAAAGCTTTTCCTCGTGATTGGTTGACTTCACTTCGAAGTAAATCGATTGAAATTATTGACACGTCATTGCCACCTTGTTTCGCATGCAATTTCAAGTCACCCTGCAAGAACTTCGAAACAACTAGGTATGAATACTTTGTCATTAATTTTTATTCTTATTTATAAAAATGAAATCCCATTTATCTAATTTTTCTAAGTTATTTTCGTATTTTCAAACGTCATCTTGTAAAATTTCAAAATTACCGACATAAACATTAAATACCTCCTAAGAGACATGAATACCTTTCCTAAATAACATTCAAATAATCATTTCCTCTCTTGTTTTTATGCCATATCAAAGTATTTTATAAAACCATTGAAACATCAATGAACAGTTTGAACACACCAATTCAGAATCAGTAACTGAAATTTTGGGAGATGTTTTCGATTTGTAGGAACGAAATTATATTTATTTAAAATTTATAATATGTGATTATTTATCAGATTTTTTTTATTTAATATCAGTTATGGATGTCCCTACAGGTTAAATGTAACGCAACCCTTCTAAATTTGATACCTGAACTTTTCTAGCAATTTTAAGCAATATATTCAGATTATGAATACTTTTCATAAGTAAATAACAATTTCAATATATTTTGCGAATCTATATTAAATAAATTTAAATAATCAATTGAATCAAAACATTTCGTTTTCAGATTTGTGACAGTAAATAGTACAAGCTCGTCTAATCTTTGTCCACTATGCCCAACCGGACGAAACAATTCATACCCATGGATCAACTGCATGAACAAGTTGCAAGAACTTGTCTTAATCCGAGGAAAAATTGAAACTCTGGGTGCTGATTTTTTTCCAAAAAGATTAGAATCATTAAAGAAATTAAATTTGTCCCATAACGAGATAAGATTGATAAATCCTAGAGCTTTTCAAGGTCTTGACACACTACTAAGCATGGATTTGTCTCATAATCGAATAGATTCGTTGCAGAATATGTTCATAAATCCTATGAAGTTGTATTACCTTGATGTCAGGTAAGTGGACGTTAACATACTTATATCAATAAATGAAAACATTATTAATTATTTGCTTAGAGTTGATACATAGAATAGAATTTTTAATTTATTTACATCCATATGGAACTGCATCAAATATATCGAATTATATTTTTTTTTTTTAGATTTTTGAGAGTTGAATTCAAATATGTTATTTATGTTAAGGCCATTAAAATAATATTTAGATAAAAAAATTTTTAAAAATGTTTGTGCAAATTTACAACTGGGTGCGCCTCTCATTTTCAGCGACGCTTTCTTATTTTTGATTTAGTTTCTGATGAAAAGATTCACACCAAAAACTAATACATTTTGTTACATTTCTTTACAAATATTTTTAATACAGCCAAAACACATTACGAAATTTAATATTGCTGTTAATTTAGCAAACAAAATTGTTACTTTTGTTTTCAAATAGCATAACATAACGCGAGTTTCAGCAAAATTTGAACGAAATTTGTTGTCAATCCAATTCTAAACAACAGAATGAAGGAAACATAAAGAAAGAGGTTGCAATCACTTTGATGTTGATGGCTGGTGCTACAACAGGAAACCGCAGCTGTCTTACGATCAACAGGTGTGACATTTAAATGCCGTGCCGGTCAGAATTTTATTTTCGTACTTTTCTTTCCTTTTCTTTTTTGGAATTGATTTTCGTATTTAATTAAAGAAACTTGAAATGAGCGACAGAAGTGTAAAATTTATGAAATGTCCCCTTATGTAAAGATCCTGAAACTGATAGTAAACAATTAAAAATAAATTTAATCCAGAATGGGACTATAAGTCTAATGTTACCCATAGGTGCTCATATTTTTTCGCGTCGAAACTATGGTTGAAAAATAAAACAAAATTATTACCAAGTTATCACAAAGTTATAAAAAAAATATTGCTAAACATGGATTTCAAAAATTTATTTTTGTTTCAAATATATAATTGATGCAACAAATAACTTATAAATGTCAGGAATCGCTCAACAATAGATATTTTCCTTGTTGTTAATTTAAAAAAATGGGTGTCTTGAAATAATTTCAAGACAAAAAAAAAAAGTTGAATTCTTTAGTTCGACCGTGTGACTGGGGAAGTTCTGATCAATTTGCTAGCTCATTGGTCAGGTATGAAAACGTCTACATAGTTTTACAGAATGTTATTTTATATGGCAAAACGCAAAATTTAAATAAAATCAATCTTTATAGATCCTGGGAAATCGGATTTTAATCGCATTTAAAATTCGATTTCAGAGGAGCTATCGGACCGAACTCGTTTAAATTTTTGATTTTGCCTTTTAATATTGCATTCTTTAAAATTATGTAAAAATTTATACATCTTGCAAATTACATTTTTTTTTTACTATTTTTAATTAAAATGTTACAAAAATAGTTAATAATTACAAAAAAAATTACTTTCTATTCCGTGGAATTATGTTAGGTTAATTAAACAAATATATTGCGAACAAAATTTTAATTTTAATTGTTAAAAATTTCTCGAGCTATGATCAAATACACAGAAAGTAAAATTAACATTAAAAGTTCTAAACTTTGGACCTCTCTCATGACTTAACTATTGGGACCGCATTTAACAGATTGCGGCTACTCCCTGTATTTTGGGGAATCAAAATCCAATTCCGTCTGAAAAAAATGTGTTTTTATTCAGAGAAAGTACGTCTTTGGGTTTAATTCCGTAACTTAAAATGTCATCTGCACTTATTAATTAGCACATTTGAGGTCAACCCCTCGGACCATTACGATTAAGTCCTAGAAAGTGATCAGTCAATTATTAGGTTCAAAAATTATTCATTTTGCGCATCGTACATAATTTTTTTTATTTATTTATTTGAAATTTATCGATAATTCAGATATTTGAGTTCTTTTAATATAGTTCAAAGTTTTCCTAATGACAATACACAACATTTCATAGTGCGCAGTTCATTAATTTATTTATTTCCAATTTATTATTACATTAAAATCTCATCGAAATATAGAATTTATAAACTTTTTGTCATTAAAAAGTATTTTATGGTTTGCTTGTTCTTTTTTCATTCATTTATAACATTATTTACTGTTTAAAAATCGCAAAATCGGATTCCTAGTAATTTTCTGGTCCACTGCAGAATAACTATTAATGCTGAAATATTTTGTTAAAATAATGAGAATAGTAGACATTAATTTTGGAATGTTTTCAGTATTTTACAAGCATTGTATAAAAGGAATTTTTAAGTAAGATAAGATATTCCGTAACCACCGCCCTGGATATATACTTTTTGAATCCTTGTAAAAAATAACTGATTGCTGGATACACTGGGTTAAACTACAATTTTTAGATTTCAGATACATCTCCAAGTTTTATCAAATTGGTCAGAGTATTTTTCATACTTTCTTCTCATTTGTGGTTCATAAGATTGAGATGATTATGATTGTATTTTCCTTGAGTAACACCAGAATATTTCGAATCCAGTTGGCCGAAAGCTCCCCGTGTAGTAAATGGGTACTGGTGCACGTTAAATCTGTCTTGTAACAATGTCCTCCATGTTCCTATAACAAATTATACCTCTGAAGGTACTGAATTGGGGATTAATCGTTCTCTGGTTCAAATCAAAATTATGAACTGCGGATGAATGGATGGATGTATGAATGGACCCGCGCTATAAACGGGTGTGATGTACTTATAGGGCAGAAGTCGAATTCTTGGCCATAGATGGCGCCACTGGAAAAAAACAATCTCACTCCTTGCCTTAGTGGCCTACAACTACAACAAAAACAAATCCGGAACCAAGTAATTATGTTTTCATGTGCATAAAACTAGGTTTTATTATGTTAACCTCTCAATTGAAATAAATGTACATTTGACTTATTTCGATTATATTATGTAGCGTAAGTGCACAAATAGAGTAAATTGTGCATAATGTAATCACAAGAAATACATCTTTGTATCTTTTTCATTGATAAGACGTACGCTTTATACTGTCATAGTTAGTAATCAAAACATGATAAAGTTCATTCTTCTATTTCTTCTCTTATAGAGAATAGAGAACGAATTAATTTTTTTCTTTGAGCGTTTTATTGTTCAAGTGCCGTTCTCATTTTTCGCTTTTTACTTTTTTTTTATTTCCAAAGTTAATAATATAAAAAACTCTTTTCTACTGTCAGAATTCTTCTATTGTTATAGTAAGTAAACATGCAGAAAACTGCTTATTTACCCTAACTTTCTCAGTCTGGCTGTGCTTCATTAATTCACAGATAATAACTGGTATAAATAACTTTGACTATAAGTAACAGTTATATATTCACTGATGTAAATATCGGTTTAGAATATAACTGAACATCATATCAGAACGAAACCAAAATATTAGGATTATTAAACATTAATTAACTGTATCATATTTTCTTGCTTACACACTGTTGTGTTTCACCCAACTTATTGCCTCTTTTTTCTCAGTTTTCATAATTGAGATCAAAACTAACGAAATATAAGGAAAAGAATTGTGGTCTTTGTTTCCTTGTAAAAGTGTAAATACTTCATCAGATCTTAGAATCTGTTAAATAAATTAACTCACTAAAAAATGCAGAAACCCAAAAAATATAGGTCTGTCTGTATTTTTTTTTTCAAACAATATAATACCACTGGATGCAATTTAGCATTACGTTAGTGAAAGCTATCTTTAGTTTAGGCCTAGAAGTTATTTGAGACTCAGGCGATGTGTTGGTCGAATCTTGTGAAAAGATGCGAAGTAGTGTGTTGTAACGAGCACAGACGTTTTTTTCGATTGGAAATAAATTGAACAGTTTTTAAAACTCCAAAACTCTAATAGCAGAGTTTTCTAAAAAATACAGTTATTTCTAGCCCTCAATTACAGCCATGTTTGGATCAACGAATTGAGGAGGGANAAAGCTTCTGAGGAAGGCCCAGGCCCACAAAGGGCTGTCATGCCAATGCTGATGATAGAAGTTATTTGAGACTCAGGCGATTTGTTGGTCGAATCTTGTGAAAAAAGGCGAAGTAGTGTGTTGTAACGAGCACAGGCGTTTTTTTCGATTGGAAATAAATTGAGCAGTTTTTAAAACTCCAAAAATCTAATAGCAGAGTTTTCTAGAAAATACAGTTATTTCTGGCTCTCAATTACAGCCATGTTTGGATCAACAGTACATCACGAATTGAGGAAGGAAACTTTATATAGCAGTTACAGCAATTGGCAGTTTTTTGATACGCAACTAATAATGCTAGTAATTTATTTCAAATAGAAAAAATGGTAAGTCAATTTAGGTTAAGAAATATATTCTTTAGTATGAATTTGTATTTTAAAAAAAATTTTATTTTGTCATTTTTCTTATCTCAGAATTTTTTATTGTAATCTCTACGATAAAAGTAATCTTTGTTTTATCAAAGGTAAGAAAAAATAATAAAAATAAATTTAATTAGAATAAATTTAATTGGAATGTTTTTTTTTTCTTCAAAAAAGAAAGTTGGCGGCATGAATTCCCAATCAACTTAAACTAATTTGAAAGAAAATTAGGCGTACTTGAATTAACGTGAGCTATTTTTTTAATTGCATACGGAATTACAAAAACTAAAATTTCACAAATGTTTTGAATTGAATTTTAGCACTTTTTCTTCTTTTTTTTTTGGATGCTATGCAAAATTCCCTGTTTTTCAAATTCTTCGTTTTTATATATCCTTCGCCACTTTAAAGAGTTTTGCTTCTAACCTTTAGCTTGCACTTGCAGACTCTTAAATGAATTCTCCATTACATAAATCAGATGAACTGCCTCTAGCAGTAATAACATTTTTGCCCTTTTTCAATAAATTAGATTTATCTGCAATTCAATTTATTTGTTCAATTTCTTAACAAGCCTTATCACCAGGAGGATATAAAAATTTCCGATTCTTTTACACCTGTTTTTTTAATATTTTACCCTTGGCAGACGAAATTTGGTCTTAACTAAATTAGGTACATCAATGTCCGATAAAATTTCCTTTTTCTATCAAAAAATAAATATTCTTACACATTAAATGCGTAAGTACAAGAGCAATCAATGCTGAGGCTGACAAAAATTTATAATTTGTTTTTATCTCTAACTTTTCTATACTCCATGTTTTGTAAAAATATGCAAACAGTTGCCCTATATGTGTCCCTGCTTAGTTATTAGAAATTGAAAAACAGCTTAAAATATATTAAAAAAATATCAGAAAATGCATAAGTTTGCAATTACAGTGAAAATGACTTAGAAAAAAAAAAAGAAANAGTACCTTGTGGAATCAATGCTAAGGCGGGTGTTAGCAAATTTGAGGGCTAAAGGTGGTTCTACATGTTCTTAGCAGGGTTTGTCATAATGTAATGGCTCTTAGATGTATATATATATATATATATATATATATATATATATATATTTCTTTTCACTGTAATTGCAAATTACACGTATATATATGTATATATATACGTATATGTATATATACATATACATATACGTATATATATATATATACATACATTTTTTTTCTAGTTGGAACAAAATTGAAAATCTGGATGCTACGTTCTTCATAAAATTACCAAATCTGAAATTACTCTTTGCAAGAAGTAATCATATTGCACAATTACAAGAAGAGCATTGGAAAAATCTTCCCATAACCCTGACATTCGCCGATCTTGCAGGTAAACTAAAAAACATACATTTATTTCAAAAAATTTTTTTGATTAGCACTGTTAACTAAAATTTTTGAGCAGATGGCTTTAAAATGAACAAGATAAACAGTATGCGAATTACAGCGGTTTGGAGTTTTAAAATCTAAAACTAGTTCGGAAAAGTAATGTTATGCGAATTAATATAGAAACTAGCCTGCTATGCCTCTCGATTTATTTTCAATCAAGTAAGGAGAATTTAATGAAATTGCAACAAACAATTTTTATTTGCCTCAAACTTTTGAATAAAGCAAGCATCAGATTAAACAAAGTATGGAAAACTGTCAGGAATGTCAGTTTGAAGATAATACAGTTTAAATTTACTAAAGAAACTAGTCTGTCATTTACCTCGATTCTTTTAAGTTAGCTGAAGGGAATTCAGGGGGAATTAGACAAAATAGTTCGCATCAATTAACTGAAACTTTTGAATAGCTGGTTTTAAAATGAATAAATAATAACTGTGACAAAGAAAAATCTGTATTTATTTAACTATTTTGAAGAGTTTTATTGTGAAAAAGTAATAAAGCTCTTCAAAATAGAATTATTGATGGGTTTTAAAATGAAAAAATAATAACTGCAGCAAAGAAAAATATATAATTATTTATTTATATTGAAGAGTTTTATTGTGAAAAAATAATAAAACTCTTCAAAATAAAATGATTGATGGGTTTTAAAATGAAAAAATAATAACTGCAGCAAGGAAAAATCTATAATTATTTATTTATATTGAAGAGTTTTATTGTAAAAAAATAATAAAACTTCTCAAAATAAAATGATTGATGGGTTTTAAAATAAAAAAATTATAACTATAGCAAAGAAAAATCCATAATTATTTAATTATTTTGAAGAGTTTTATTGTGAAAATATAATAAAACTCTTCAAAATAAAATGATTGATGGGTTTTAAAATGAAAAAATAATAACTGTAGCAAAAAATCTATAATTATTTAATTATTTTGAAGAGTTTTATTGTGAAAAAATAATAAAACTCTTCAAAAAAAATAATTGATGGATTTTAAATTAAAAAAAATAATGACAGCCACAAAGAAAAATCTATAATTATTTAATTATTTTGAAGAGTTTTGTTGAGAATTACTGTGAGTTAAGATTGTTCTCTGAAATTACTAAAGAACTTCAGATGTTATTCCTCTCCGCTCTCTTCCATCAGTTTACAAAAGAGAATTCAACAAAAATAAAACAATTTTATAAAAACTTTATTATCACCTTTTGGAAGTTTGCAACTAATTTCTTATTTAATTAGAGGGCTATTTACTAAGTCCTTCAATCCCCAGAGATTACCAAGGAATCTTCTACGGCTCAATTTGCAAACCATGATCGCTTTACTCACTATTAAGTCCCATTTAGATTCGATTTTTCACACTATAACAGGACCAACTTTTAAAGTAAACTTTTATAAAGTTCCATTTTTTAAATATATTTTTTTAAATACAATAATGATTCAAAGTATATTTTTAAAGTTATAAATAAAATCCAGTTAGACTTTAGATGATTTATCTGGTGCAAGGAATAGTCCCTACAAATTATAATTTTCAATCACCTTCTTCTAGAAGTCGTGCAGTGGACTGATCGTTAAGACACGGCTCCCATCAGATCACCAAAGTCATGCATCACTGGCTGCGGTCAGTGTGCCGGTGGGTGACCACTTGGATCCGTCTGCGTAGGGACCGAGGGTGTGCGGTATGGGTCCTCGTTAAACTGTTCTACCGTAAAGTGCTCGACTTCGCATGCAGGACGTCGGGTTACCAAAGCGGGGGTGCCATCACCTCTGCAGAGGATCAAAATTGTGATGGCATGTCTTCGGATCATCCTCAGGTATGTTTCCCAGACCGTCGCCAATTGCCCATTGTGCTGTTCTAGTGCGACGTAAATGAACTACTGCAACAATACCAACAACCTTCGTCTAGAAACAATTTGTATAGATCATCCCCGATTTTTTATTACAAAAATATTTTAAGACTTATGACAGTTTCAAGCTTTAAAATGGTGTTTAATTTTTTGAATAACTTCCTTAATTAACCTCATAAATTTATTAAAAAGCATAGCACCGATAATATCCAAATAAACTAATTGAAAATTAAAACACTTATTCTATTTTGTTCTAGATAATCCTATAAAGTGTAACTGCAACATGAAATGGGTGAACTCAACGATTCCCCAAAAAACTTATTTGAAAGGTCACTGTTCAAGAGACAAATTCTACACCACCAGAAATCTGAAATTAAATATCAAGTATTTTCTGCAATGGTGCGAGAAGATAAACAAGACCACGACTGTGAAACCGAAGCAGAAACAAAACTCGATGCTACTTGTAAACAAGAGTGAAGCAACAAACAAGGTTGAACAAATAATGCATATTAATTGAAAATTTTAAGCTATACTTAAATATATAATGTTGTAAAATTTTAATGAAAAAAAAAGAGTGTTTTGTTTCTTAATTTTTTGATTGCATTAATTGGGTGAGTTCTATGACACTGAGCTAGTACATCAATGCAGCATACATCCTATTTAGTTGTCAGAGTAACTTTTCGTAGTAAAAAGCGGCATTGACTGTTCGCAATTTAGAACTTGTCAAGTTTTAACAAGCATGTCAAACAATCCTACTCTCATGCCGTCTTAATTTGTTAGGTGAATTATTTTCATTTTCCGTATTTAAAATAACTTTAGAAAAAATAACTATAAGATTGCATAACAGAAAACAATATTTAATTCGCTGCACTCGTAATAGGCTAATCTGATCAACTATCAAATTCTTAATTTTCAAATGCATATTTTACATGAATTTTCATTACAAATAAGAAAAAATATGTTTATGCACATTGCCATATTATATTTTGAATCACAAATAAAAATCCGTCGTTAAAATAATTTATTTAACACTTAATTATTTATTTATACGAGTATTTAAAGGACACTCTCTTACGTTTAAACTGACTGAACTTTTTTAACTATTCACAGGCGTGAACCTGAAGTGCTGTCCGTTAACTCTGTGTCCTAGAATTTGTCTAGAGATTTGTGCTTATTTGATTTCTTTTTATGAATTTTAATGAAACATAATAAAATATTCAAATTAAACAGTAGTTTCTTTTTAATTTTTGTTATCGCTAACTGGGATTATTTTAGCTTATTNCTTAACTCGCAGTAATTCTGAACAAAACTCTTCAAAATAAATAAATAATTATAGATTTTTCTTTGTGGCTGTTATTATTTTTTTTAATTTAAAATCCATCAATAATTTTTTTTTGAAGAGTTTTATTATTTTTTCACAATAAAACTCTTCAAAATAATTAAATAATTATAGATATTTCCTTGCCACCGTTATTATTTCTTCATTTTAAAACTCATCAATCATATTATTTTGAAGAGTTTTATTATTTTTTCACAATAAAACTCTTCAAAATAATTAAATAATTATAGATTTTTTGCTACAGTTATTATTTTTTCATTTTAAAACCCATCAATCATTTTATTTTGAAGAGTTTTATTATATTTTCACAATAAAACTCTTCAAAATAATTAAATAATTATAGATTTTTCTTTGCTATAGTTATAATTTTTTTATTTTAAAACCCATCAATCATTTTATTTTGAAGAGTTTTATAATTTTTTCACAATAAAACTCTTCAATATAAATAAATAATTATAGATTTTTCTTTGCTGCAGTGATTATTTTTTCATTTTAAAACCCATCAATAATTCTATTTTGAAGAGTTTTATTATTTTTTCACAATAAAACTCTTCAAAATAATTATTTAATTATTTTGAAGAGTTTTATTGTGAAAATATAATAAAACTCTTCAAAATAAAATGATTGATGGGTTTTAAAATGAAAAAATAATAACTGCAGCAAGGAAAAATCTATAATTATTTATTTATATTGAAGAGTTTTATTGTAAAAAAATAATAAAACTTCTCAAAATAAAATGATTGATGGGTTTTAAAATAAAAAAATTATAACTATAGCAAAGAAAAATCCATAATTATTTAATTATTTTGAAGAGTTTTATTGTGAAAATATAATAAAACTCTTCAAAATAAAATGATTGATGGGTTTTAAAATGAAAAAATAATAACTGTAGCAAAAAATCTATAATTATTTAATTATTTTGAAGAGTTTTATTGTGAAAAAATAATAAAACTCTTCAAAATAATATGATTGATGAGTTTTAAAATGAAGAAATAATAACGGTGGCAAGGAAATATCTATAATTATTTAATTATTTTGAAGAGTTTTATTGTGAAAAAATAATAAAACTCTTCAAAAAAAAATTATTGATGGATTTTAAATTAAAAAAAATAATAACAGCCACAAAGAAAAATCTATAATTATTTATTTATTTTGAAGAGTTTTGTTCAGAATTACTGCGAGTTAAGATTGTTCTCTGAAATTACTAAAGAACTTTATGTTATTTCTCTCAGCTCTCTTCCATCAGTCTACAAAATAAAATTCAGCAAAAATAAGAAAATTTTACAAAACTTTATTAGAACCTTTTGGAAGTTTGCAACCAATTTCTTATTTAATTAGAGTGCTATTTACTAAGCCCTTTAATCCCCAGAGTTTACCATGGAATCTTCTACTGCTCAATTTGCAAACCATGATCGCTTTACTCACCATTAAGTCCCATTAAGATTCGATTTTTCGCATTCTAACAAGACCAACTTTTACAGTAAACTTTTATAAAGTTCTATTTTTTTAATATATTTTTTAAAATACAATAATGATTCCAAACATATTTTTAAAGTTATAAGTAAAATTCCGTTAAACTTTAGATGATTTATCTGGTGAAAGGAATCGTCACCACAAATTATAATTTTCAATCACCCTCGTCTAGAAGTCCCGGAGTGGACTGATCGTTAAGACACGGTTCCCACCAGATCACCAAAGTCAAGCATCACTGGCTGCGGTCAGTGTGCCGGTGGGTGACCACTTGGATCCGTCTGCGTAGGGACCGAGGATGTGCGGTATTGGTCCTCGTTAAACTGTTCTACCGTAAAGTGCTCGACTTCGCATGCAGGTCATCGGGATACCAAAGCAGGGGAGCCATCCTCTCTTCAGGGGATCAAAATTGTGAGGGCATGTCATCGGATCATCCTCAGGGATGTTTCCCAGACCGTCGCCAATAGCCCAATGTGCAGCTCTAGTGCGACGTAAATGAACTACTGCAACAACCTTCGTCTAGAAACAATCTGTATAGATCATCCCCGATTTCTTAGTGCAAAATTATTTTAAGACTTATGATATTTTTATGTTTTGAAATGGTGTTTTGTTTTTTGAATAACTTCTTTAATTAACCTCATAAATTTATTAAAAAGCATAGCACCGATAATTTCCAAATAAACTAATTGAAAATTAAAACACTTATTCTATGTTTTCTAGATAATCCTATAAAGTGTAATTGCAACATGAAATGGGTGAACTCCACGATTCCCCAAAAAACTTATTTAAAAGGTCACTGTTCAAGAGACAAATTCTACACCACCAGAAATCTGAAATTAAATATTAAGTATTTTCTGCAATGGTGCGAGAAGATAAACAGGACCACAACTGTGAAACCAAAGCAGAAACAAAACTCGATGCTACTTGTAAACAAGAGTGAAGCAACAAACAAGGTTGAACAAATAATGTATATTAATTGAAAATTTTAAGCTATACTTAAATATATAATGTTGTAAAATCTTAATGAAAAAAAAGAGTGTTTTGTTTCTTAATTTTTTGATTGCATTAATTGGGTGAGTTCTATGACACTGAGCTAGTGCATCGCGTTCTCAATTTATTCAATTTTCAAGGTCTGAACTTTAAGGTTGATTGATCGAAAATGCAGCATACATCCTATTTAGTTGTCAGAGTAACTTTTCGTAGTAAAAAGCGGCATTGACTGTTCGCAATTTAGAACTTGTCAAGTTTTAACAAGCATGTCAAACAATCCTACTCTCATGCCGTCTTAATTTGTTAGGTGAATTATTTTCATTTTCCGTATTTAAAATAACTTTAGAAAAAATAACTATAAGATTGCATAACAGAAAACAATATTTAATTCGCTGCACTCGTAATAGGCTAATCTGATCAACTATCAAATTCTTAATTTTCAAATGCATATTTTACATGAATTTTCATTACAAATAAGAAAAAATATGTTTATGCACATTGCCATATTATATTTTGAATCACAAATAAAAATCCGTCGTTAAAATAATTTATTTAACACTTAATTATTTATTTATACGAGTATTTAAAGGACACTCTCTTACGTTTAAACTGACTGAACTTTTTTAACTATTCACAGGCGTGAACCTGAAGTGCTGTCCGTTAACTCTGTGTCCTAGAATTTGTCTAGAGATTTGTGCTTATTTGATTTCTTTTTATGAATTTTAATGAAACATAATAAAATATTCAAATTAAACAGTAGTTTCTTTTTAATTTTTGTTATCGCTAACTGGGATTATTTTAGCTTATTTCAAATTTTTAGTGCAAAATTCGTGTATTTCTCTATAGATCGGAGAAACTTAAATAAACACTAGGCTTGAGGAGGGTTTATAGTGTTGATTTATGTGTAATTTTTCTTTGTTTTCTTCTGTAAAGTTGAAAGACTTGGTGAGCAAATTTATCCTCCCCAGGTAACTTGCTCTGCGGTTTTTTTTCTTTTTTTATTTGTTAAAATCTGCCACTTAAATCAACTTCTCGTAAATTTTTTTAGTGGGTGTAAAATGAGCAAAGATGGCACCCGTTAAATTCTTAGATTGACGCCGTACAACTTTAGTAGCCGATTATTAGCAATAATAATGAAAGTAAATACTTAAGCTGTTTGAGAAGAACTTGAAAAAAATCTTCAAAAAAGGGTCATAGTTTCTTCGCAAATGGAAAACAGATAAAAGAAATGTTTTCAGAAAAAAAGTGAATGTCTTCCTTTGGTTTTCTCCAGTTTTCTCACTTTTAAATCACCTTCGTCCTAAATGTTCAAAGCATGTTTCAATGTTATTTTCATACGATTCTTCCTAGAGAAATTTCAAATCTATTCTAGGGATCCAGGAATTACACTCTTGGAGAGGACACTATGTATTTCTATGTTCTCTAGTTTCCTACGCAGCGGGAACTTTGCTCATTAAGACTATGATATGATATATAAAGTACATAAACTGCACACTCATATCCCTTCAATATTTATTATGTACATCATAAAAATAAAAATAAAAAATGAGAAAAACTTACGAATTTTACAGAAGCGCTCCAGTGGCGCAATCGATAAAGGCGTCACTCACACCGGCTGTCCACGTCGTCTGACCAGGGTCAAAACTAAGTGACATTCCCACCATGGCCGTTAAAAGATAAAGCCCTTAAGAATGGGGCAAAGTACTTGGCCATAATTGGAAGGTGCGTGCACTTCACACATCAAAGTCGCCAAGTAATTAAAAGTGCTTGTTAATTGCGCACTCATAAGCTATCACTAAATGGAAACTCTCCTGCAAACATTGGAACAACAGCTCCGATTTCCTTGACCATTTGAGTAACTATTGTTTTCGGCCGAAATTTTCATTTAAAAAGTTGACAAAGTAATCCCGGTGGCTACAGTAATCCCAGTCCAGTATATTTAGTTTCACAATTTGGAGAAAAAAAAGTTCAGGAACTTTTATTTTAATTTCAAAGATATTTTTTTTTCCCTTGTGGATAAAAGAAATGGAAAGTGAGACCTAGTTTCCAATTTATATCAATCATTTAATCATTTTTTTTTTAAATTGCAATAAAAGTTTGATGACAGTTTGTAATATATTTAAATGAAGTATTTATTATGGAGAAAAAATATTTCTAAATAAAACTTCGGAGTTTTAAATCCTTATAAGAAATGAGTTAAAATAATGTGCAATTAAGAGGAATCAAATTAATATTTAAGCGAAACAACGAAAATGCTGTATCGAAATCTAATGGATCACTATTCAGTAGGGCAATGCAAGGCGGAAAACATGCTTGTTTGCGAGCGTATACAAAAAGAAGATGAAATTTTAAAAATTAATAATGCCTCCAACTTACATTGAGCAATAAAACTGGTTTTGATATTTTTCATCCTCCTTTTTTTCGTCCA